AGGGTCCTACCAGGCAGCCTGACTACCTCGGTCCTAACAGTGCTGCTACCCGCAATATAGTTGCCTTTTAAGTCTGATCTTTTTTCTTGATTATTGAAGTTAAAATTTTGTGTTAAAAATTCAAGTCAGAGGGGCGAGCAGGTGGCATGGTGGTTAAGACACTAGACTCCCACATGGTTGATCTCTGTTCAAGTCCCAGGTCTGGCAGCTTACTTTCTCACTTTCCCTTTCTTTCTCTCTGGTGAGCACATGGGCTCTACCACAAATTAAATAATAATAAATATTAAATAAGTAATTCTTCTAAAGAGTTCAAGCCAGGGTTACAAGGAAGAAAGTGAAAGGAGTTCTACCCTACTGAGATGAACACTTATAAAGGCTTGAACATACAGCTCACGTGATGCTGACTCAAGGCGAATGTTCTGGAACTGTGTGTCTTTGGGTAAGTTGCCTAACCTCTCTGAGCCCTCGTCTCTCAAACGAGGGGGCTAGATGGATGACACAGCTCCATGGGCCTTCCCAGGCCTGACCGTGGAGATCTGTTTGTAAAGACTGCTCAATAGCAGCTGGCTGTGTCCTAACTGCCTGTGTGTGGGAGGTGAAGTCACCCCTTTGCCAGCCCCTCAGGGTGGGCCCAGGCAGCCGCTGAATCTCCCTGCCTGTGTTCCCCCAAATGATAAGCACTGCACAACCGCAGTGAGGAAGCAGGGACGCTAGGGCTGAGCCGGGTTCCGGGTGGCTCCAGGCTTCCCCCAGGGCATGTTGCCAGGGAGCACTGCCCCCAGTGAGAGCTCCTGGCAGGCTGGGAGTCAGAGGCGTCAGGCGCCATGCCCGGCATGGGCCCAAAGACCAGGCCTCACAGACCAGGGTCTACACGGCCGCATGCCAGGCCTGGTCCATCTCTCCCACAAGCTAGGCAGGCCCTAGGTTTGACCTGCTGTCTGAGGAGATCAGCTATGTGACCTTGGGCTCTTTTCCTCTCCGAGCTGGCTCCTCGTTGCAGGATGGAAGTCATGTCCCACATGAGGACCATCGGCAGGTCCACAAAATGATACCTGAAGGTACCCGGCACCGAGAAGGCGCTTAATAAAAACCAATTTCTGTCCTCCTCCCTTCTGGAACCTTTCAACAGTACACTTTTCAAAAGTTCTGTTGGGGCTAGCAGGTGGCATGGTGGTTAAGGTGCTGGATTCCCACATGACTGACTATGGTTCGAGTGCTGGACCCCTGGACTTGAAAATCACACCAGGTGTGTATGCATGTGTGCTCAAAATTCCGAGAGGAGAATGGAGGAGAGAGTGCGGCATAGCCATTCTTCCTGCAGGGGCACTTTCCCTCTCGGACTCTCTAATAAATGCATGCACCCTATGGCAAAAAAAAAAAAAAAAGTTCTCCTGTTTGGCCTACTGGTTAATGAAGGGAACAGGATCCTACATTGTCAACCGTGTGGTTCAAATCCTGACCCAGTGGCTTGAGAAACGCCAGGCATGTGTGCACATGTGCCTGAACTCTGGAAAGGAGGGAAGACGGAGGAGAAGGGTGACCACTCCCCATGGTGAGGTGTCTCCTCTCTCTCCATCTCTCTGGGGGCAAACATTTAAAAAGTTCTTCTGCTAGTTTGTAAACTGTGGACCTACTACGTGCCAGGCACTGCGTCGAAAGTAGTGGGTCGGGGAGTCCAGAGAAGGGAAATATAGCCCCGACCCTTACAAAGGCATATCCCAGGAGCAGCCCAGGATGAAGTGGCTCTCCCAGATGTTTGGACGGAGTCCTCCGGGCCACACGGGAGGGCCGAGCTGGACAATGGGGAGGCTGTGCTGAGACAGCACTTTGGCTGGGGAAAAATGATGGAGGAGCCTGAGAATTCTTGCAGGGGGGGTGGGGTGGGAGCACAATGCAGGGTGAGGAAGCACAGGACATTCAAGGACGTTCCCAGGATGAAGTGGCTCTCCCAGATGTTTGGACGGAGTCCTCCGGGCCACACGGGAGGGCCGAGCTGGACAATGGGGAGGCTGTGCTGAGACAGCACTTTGGCTGGGGAAAAATGATGGAGGAGCCTGAGAATTCTTGCAGGGGGGGTGGGGTGGGAGCACAATGCAGGGTGAGGAAGCACAGGACATTCAAGGACGTTCAAGGACGCAGTGGAGGAGCCTGAAAATTCTTGCAGGGGGGGTGGGGTGGGGGCACAATGCAAGGTGAGGAAGCACAGGACATTCAAGGACGTTCAAGGACGCAGGCCCACTGGGCTTCCTGGAGCAAACAGGGAAATCTGAGAGAGGGAGGCTGAGCCGGACAGCAGGCAGGCCCAGCCCTGGTGGGCTTCAACTTGGTGGGAAATGGGGCCACAGAAGGTCACTGAGCAAGGGGCCCACTGGGGAGAGAGCAGACGGCTGTGGATGGCCTCAGTACCTGCTCTGCTCCTGAGAGCACCCTCTGCATGTGGCCCACCCCGGCTCTCAGTCCAAGGAGGGTATCACTCCCAGCGTACCAGTGGGGAAACTGAGGCTTCGGCACATGAAGCTGCTTGCCCAGGGGTACCGAGCACCCAGTGAGCGGCGGCCTTTCATTCCCTGTGACTAAGGCAGGTGCGAGTCCCCTCTGGGGGCCAGGGTAGGCCAGCACCAGAAGGGTGACGCTGTCCCGTTCACAGTGACTGCTCCCTGGCCCCGAGGGACGACGGATGGTACTATCCAGTCACCCCAGGGAGGGGGCAGTGCAGGCACAGAGGTGAAGAATTTCTCGGGCTACACATTAAAGGGGGGTGTCTGAACCAAGGCCCCGAGCCCTTCCCAGGACTCCACGTGGCCTCCGGGGCTGTTCCTCAACCCACTAGGGTCAGGAAGGCCCAGATCAGAAAGGCCATTTCTCTCCCCAGTCAACACCCTGGGACTCCGGCTTTGGCCCCACCCAGATCATGCCTGGCCTCCCTTAGGCTCCTTTCTGGTCAGAGCAGCACCCCCACTGCCTGGGTGGGGCCTGGGGCCACAACTTGACCATCTGCCTCTGGGAGGTGAGGACGTGAGCCAGCACAGATTAGCTGGTCTCAAGCAAGGACCTGTCCACTCATACTGGCAGGTGTCCCTCTTCAGCCGCTGGCTTGTGGTGACCAGTTCTGAGGCCATCCCATGCATGCCCAGGGGCGTGATGACACCAGACCTGCCCCACGGGGAAGGGAAAGACGGGATTGGGCCAATCCCAAGGAGAATGGCGGCTGCGGCCTGGGGGCCTTACATGCATCCATCTCTCAGGTGAGCCTCAAGCCCTCTGTGAAGCGGGCAGTGTAGACGCACTGGGGGCTGGGAGGCTGGCTAGGAAAAGAGGCTCATCTGGGATCCCCCAGCAGCAAAAGGGGGTCACCCATGCACTTCCTGCTCTTTCCACGGAAGCCCACCGCCACTGTGATGTTTGCACGAGAAGGTCTTTTCTCTGAAGAATCTGGGTGGGAGAAGGTATAATGAACATGCTTGGCAAAAATAGAAAGGCGGCCCGAGCGAGCCCGCACGGAAAAGTGAGCAGCCGGAGCCTATGAAGCCAGGCGAAAAGCACGCCGAGCCCCTCGAGTAAGTCCATAAACACATCAAGAAAGCCTTTCTTTCCCAGGTCTTTCTCTTGTCACTCCCCGAGATAGGAGGGTGTAGCTATCAGCGAGGGCTCTCTGCTGTAGTCCTTCACCACTGTGCAAATGAAGGTCGAAAACCGCATTAAAAAGAAAAAAAAAACACTCAAGAGTCCTGGACATTTCTAGAAGAATCCAGGCGGCCACTTGGCACGCGTAAGAAGACAAGAGCTCGCAAGGCAAATGCTGAAGCCGCCCCTGGTGATACAATCGCCAGAGCACCCACAGGGTGTCCAGGGAAATCCGGCCCGACCCCCGCCCCCACCACGCCCCCACCGCGGGCAGGAGGGAAGAAACCGCGGAATGTTCCTGACTCTGCACCCCGGCCGATGGCGCAATGTTTGTTTGTGTACCCAACATGTCGGTGTCGCCGTAACGGGCTCCGCTGCCCAGGGGCCGTCACCACGGCTTGGCGCGGACAAGCCTGGGGTCTTCCCAAGCGTGAGGCCCGGGTGCCGGCAGTCTGCCTAAAGCGTCCCAGATCGGATTTTGAGCGCAGCGAGTATACATGGCGAGGACCAGGGAGGCCCGCCTTGCGTCCCGGGTCGGAGCCCCCCAGCCAGCACACAGTAGGCGCGCAGCCAGGGAATGCTATTGTATATACCGGCGGCAAGACGGGAGGGGTGCCGAGGCGCGCTCTCGAGCCCACGTGACTGACAGGTGTCGGCTGCCCCTGGGGGGAGCTGTGGAGCCGCGCGGCGCTCGTCCCCTCCCCCCAAACGCCTAACCCCGGAAACCCGGACTTTGGGGCTCCCCTCCCCACCCCAGACCCCTGACCTGCCCGCCTAGACTCAGCCCTGGAGGGCCCACAGGACTAGGGCTAACACGTTCCCGGGGCATTTATTTTCATGGTAAACGTGTTTTCTGAAATAACCTTAGAGAAGGTCCGGGACCCGGGAGCCTGCTCCGTCCGGGAGCGACATTTCTGCGGACAAAGGCGTTCGCTTTCCTCGCTCCCGCGCAGTGGGACGGGGGCCGCTTAGGAGCCTCAATCCCCCGCCGGCTACTGGCGAGGAAGCAGAGAAAGGGGCACACGTGCGTGCAAGGCAAAGCGCAGGGTGGGCGGCCGAGGGTCCGAGGACCGGGCGGCGCGGAGGGGATCCACTCTCCTCTCAGGATCTTGGGCACACATGCACACGCTCCC